TCGATCATATTATATACTAAATGTCTAATAAATTTTATTACCATTTTAAAAAATTGAAATAAAGTTGATATTAATGTAAACTATAATAAACTATATTATATAATAAAGAATACAAATAAATAAAAAAATTGTAAATTCAAAATCAAAACCCCAAAACTTTTATTATTTTTGGAGTAAACATTGTTTGAATTTTAAAATAATTAATTATAAAATGAAAAAATAAAAAATAAAAAAACAAAAATTAGCAAAAACTATGAATTGAACCCGGAAACAGTGATCTGGAAGAAGAAACCTCGCCGCATTGATTTCTTTAATATATAAAAGAACATTATCCACAAACTGAGTCAATCAACAAATTTTATTGGTTTAATGTAAACTGAATTCCAAAACTTTGTACTGTTTCAAAAATTTATAAAAACCCTTTGTCCCAATTTTCCATTATTTTCTATTTTTCATTCGTTTTATTTTTTATTTTTTTGTTTGTTGGACCAACAACGGTACACAGTTTAAAACCCTTAAAAACCAATAAAGTTTCAATTATCGAACAAAAAATCGGGAAATTACCCAAATAATGGGTAAATCTTCCCCGATTTTCCAGGTTCGTTATTTGGTCAGTGGTTTATTTTGTGATTAAACATAAGTTTAATTACATGTGTCAAACAAACATAAGATAAACGATAATATAACAATAAACAAACGATGTGATAAAGAACACAACTGCATCAAATGATACAACACTTTAATAAATAATAAGTTTTTGTTTATTTCAACAATTAAAAAAAAATAAAAGTCATCAATAACATAGAAACAAACATTTAAAGACGAACAAGGCCTTTCATCACAACAGTATAAAATCAAAAAAACAGTTAAAAAATAAAAAGACCAATGGTCTGGTCTATAAAGAGGTGGAATAAAAGTGATGTAGTCAAATTAATAGTTTTTTATAATTTGTTTTATAATTCTTTGTATAGTTTTGTTTTCCAATATTCCGCGTTATAATTCAAAAAACAAGGTTTACAAAGAAAAAACTTATTCAATAAAATTGCCCAAGTTGTGAAAGTCAATGTATAAATTGTTTTTTATTGTTGAAAAAAGTTGAGTTTGCTGAAATAAAACACGAGAAGCTTCAATTTGTTTCTTCGAAAGTTTTCATTGAGGACAATTGATTGCCAAAAATCCCTGAAAGAGTTCGAATTTTTTGCTCTTTAAATATTTTTTTCAACAAAAAATTCCATTTTTTGCGAAAATACAAAAACTTAAAATCGAAACCCCGCGAGTGCACCTTATTTTTACACCCCCTACGAGTTTTTTTCTTTTTTATCAAAATGAAAAGGTGGTCTTTTATTGGGTACTCAACAGTGGGCACTCAACCACCCTGAACAACATCAGTCTCTATTTACAAGGCTTAATTTTTTAATTGAACGATTAACACAATCACTTATGAAAGAGGGTGTGCACCTTAATTTCACACCCCCTACGAATGGATTCCTCATTCGTTCAGAACTG